CCCCCCCCTGCTTCTCTCTCTTTCTTGCTGGGCACGAACCGCCGGCCGCCCAACACACACTGTTCGCACGCTCACAACAACGACGACGGCGCCACCGCACGCGACACACTGCCGCCCTCATCCGATATGCACAGATGGGCACCGCCTTCAAGGACCGGTTCCCGGAATCGGAGATCATCACCGCCGAGTTTGTTAACTACGCGGACGAGTTCGTGTCTCTTCGGGAACGGCTGTCCGCCATCGCCGCTGCCGGCGACGGCGCCGCGGCGGCTGAGGCCGGCGAAGCGGGCGGAGAAGGCGCCAAGGGTGCAGGCGCCAAGGGTGCAGCGAAGGCGGCCGACGAGGAAGAGGAGGCCGGAGGCGTGGGGACTGTGGTGTTCAACGCGGTGTTTGGCAACCTTTGGGACCAGGGCGCGGCGCTTGAGCGAGCCGCGAACATTCTTGAGGTGCTTTTAGGTTGGAAAGTGTGGTGGTGTGCGGTGTTTACGGCGATAGGACCGTACCGTGTCTTTGGTCGGCTGCTTCTCCTCTTGTGCCCAATGCGAGGCGGTCGGAGAAAGTTGGCGCGAGCCCGGTTTCTGCACCAATCTCCGGTCTTCTGCGACCGTCAACCTTGATATTGCCCGCCATGTGTGTTGCGTTTCAGCAGCGAGTCTTGGTTCTCCTCTCCTGTGATGTTTTGGTTGTTTTAGCGCGTGAGTTCGTGCACTTCGCAACGGCCAACGCTGCTTGGACGCCACGACCGCAACGACAGAGTCATAGTCATATAGAACCGTAAACCCTCAGCATCAGCGCAACCCACTCGCCCCGCGCTCCTTCCCCTTTCCCCTTTGCGTTTTTGCGTTGTTGGAACACCCTCTCGCGCACGACGCGCCGCCGACAAAAAATCAAAAATAGGAGGGGGGAAAGGTCGTGATATCTCACCCGCTGGGGCGGGACTTTGTGAGCCGACTCAAGGCTGTCGACGACACGGTTGTTCCGCACGAGCTGCCGGAGCAAGACGCTCTGGAACGCTTGGTGCAGGTGGGAGAGTTCCAAACGTTACGCCGAAAACGCCGCACGGCGAGTTCGGTATTGGTTTGTGTGATTGGTGCTTGACGAGCATTCACCGGTCATGGAATTGATGGGGGCTCCGGTCTGAGGTTGCCGGGTAAGTAGTTGTGTTTCTATTTGGATGACTTTCTTGCCGTGCACCCCCGTTGGTGGCCCTTGGTGTGGCGAATATCTGCCATGTGGTGCACGCGCGGACTGGGGTTGTGACTTGGTGTCTTTGCCTGCAATGGGCGAGCGGCAAGGCTGTGTCTTGGGCTGGTGATGGCCTCGCTCGCTGTACCGCAGCGATCGTGCCGCATGTGGTCGTTACCCCTCTCGTGTGTGCGCGCATCCCAGGGTGTTCATCCTTCTGGGGTGTAGAGGAGAGTGGTCGTATAAGTTGCGGTGCGTTGTATCCAGAGGTCATGAACGAGCGCTGGCTTCTCCCCGCGGCAGACTTCTGGCAAGCAAATTGACGTCCTCCCTCTCATTCCTACGGCGCTGTCCTTGCCCAAGGACCATGTACCCTCGCCGGATATTGGGTTGTAGGGGCTTGAGGGCTGCGAAAATAGCACGAGCAAACGACGTGATGCTCGTCGCTGCAAGGCTGACTTGGGCCTGTCCCTCGATCCCTCCCCCCGCCCCCCTGGGATATAAGAAGTGGCATGCAAAGGCGGGAAGTGTTACAGATAAACTAGGAACAGTTTTTGAGCCGCCTTTGACAACGTACATGGTAGGAAGGAACGATTGGCCATCGGTGACCGGTCCTGTGGGAACAATGTCCCTTCCCTCTTGGAGACGCGTAGTCAATGGTCCAACCGCTGAAGGCATGTAGTACATGAGCACCCTCCCCCCCCCCCCCCCCCCCCCCCCCCCCCCCCCCCCCCCCCCC